CGCGGGGCTGGGACCGAGGCGGGGACAGCGACATCGAAACCTGTTGTGCTGGCGGCGGGGGGGGCTTGCTGCTGCTTTGGTTGGTTATTATGCCATTTTCAACCAGTCTTTCTAAATTAATCTCCCACAAGTCACGGAGAAAAACTACTGTTGGTAACGACTCACACTGAGCATCTGAAAATTAAATTCTGGCCCTGAAACTGATTGGCTACAAGGTCAAATATTGATTTATTTTCCAAAAGGGCAAATATTGATTTATTTTTCAAAAAACTGGCCCCAAAGCGAAGTTGTTTTCTAGGAAGTGCTTTCCTCTCGGGGGTTTAGGAGGCCGCGAGGTCCCTGGCACCAGTGTAGGGAGTCGCGGTGCCTCCTGTGGTGAGATTATGGCCATCGGGGTCTGCTTTCCAGCTCAGGACAGGAGGGCTCAGAATGACCTCGTTACCACAGCAAGTATGAGTGTTGGTGTTTGGATTTGATCCAGGAAAATTGAGTTGCTAAGGAAACGTAAATGCTACCTGTAAGCCATTTTTCAGCGCTCCCTGGGGACTAATCTTCAGGAAGTCAAGACCAGCTTCCTCCCACACTGCTTTGTTAAACAGCCATTGAACGTGAACTTCACCTGAAGAAACGCTGCGGTTGTGAATCAGAGGTGACCGGGAGAGCAGCACTTTCGTCTTTCACAGAATAATGTTGAAGAATACAGTATTTAAAGAGTGAAAAAAAGGTGTCTTTCTTAGAAGCTGTCTTTCCCTCAATACTTCCTACTCTTAAAAAAAGGGTGCTTGATGGTTTATGAATTAAATCGCAGTAACAACAATAGTAACACTTCCCTGACAGCTTCGCCTGAAAGAAAGGTCTGCCTCCTGCCCACACATCTGGTCATGGGCACCTGGAGCCATCCTGGACCCGGCTGCTGGGAGAACCAGCTGGGGCTCCGCCAGCCCTGCCACCCTGCGGCCGGCTCATAGCCCAAACCCACGGGGCAGGGAAACCTAGGGCCCCCGGAGGCTCCCCAGCTCGCCAACACGGAGACACATTTTGGACCCTGTGACCCACCGCGGGGCAGCTCCCAGCCCGGCCCTGTCTGCCGGCCCTGTGGCCCAGGCACCGCCAGGGCCCGGAGCTGTGGCCCTCCCATCTGTGTCCTCTTCAAGGGCCTTTGTCAGGGACCCGCGCCTCTCCTACTAGTGATTCTGAGGCCCCGCTCCCGCTGTCCGCAGTCCCAATGCGCATCATGAAGTCTGACGTTTCCCCAGCCTTCCACCATCAAGTCCTTATCTGGGCCTTGATGGTTTGTTTAGCCCTGGAGGACCCGGGCTCCAGATGTGGTCTCAGAGCCTGACCGCTCTCTGGGCAGCGCCCAGCGCTTCCCTCCGGGCCCCCGGGGAGCACCACTCCACCCAGTCCGGTGCGGTCCGCGGCCTTCCCCCACCAGCACCTCGCACGCCCAGGTCACTGCGTAGGCTGCCAGCTCCCGTGAAGGGGGTGCAGTGGAGAGCGGCTGGGGGTGGAGAAAGGGCAGGAGAGAGGGGGAGAAAATGGGAGGCAAAGGGCACAGGATAAAATCGGGGAAATAAAGGATAAAGAAGCGCAGACGAGCAGGAAAGGATGCGGAATGGGCGGGATCTGCAGCTGCGCCCTCTTCTGTCCACCCCAAGACTGGGCTCTGCTGTCCACATCACCCTCTTAGGATCCCAAGGGAGGATCCGGACACTTACAGATGCAAACACCCCCCATATAAAACTACAGCTCACCTCCGTTTATCACTTTTAAAACTAAAACCAGGCTGCCAGGTGGTGAATGACTGTAGTCCCAACACTCCGCAAGGCTGAGGCAGGAGGACTGCAAATCTGAGACCAGGTTGAGAATTATGCTGATACACTATCTCAGAAATAAATCTTTTTGTTTGTTTGTTTGACACAGGCTATGTAGTTCAAAGCTGGCCTTGAACCCACTATATAGCCCAGGCTGGTCTCAGATTACAGGCATGGGCCACCATGCCTGACAGGAAGGATCTGGGGGTTGAACCCAGGGCCTTCACACTGAACTACATCCCTATACTTTTTTTTAAAGATCTCATTGAGTGTCTAAATTGTCTGTCCATGCTGGGCTCAAGCCCAGAATCTTCCTGTCTCAGCCTCCCAGTGGCTGGGATTTCAGGCATATACCGCCACAACCAGCCTGAAAAATAATGTTTAAAAGGGCTGTGGCTGTAGCTCAGTGTCTATTGCTTGCTTAGCTCTACAGGATGCCCTGGGTTCAATCACTAATACTGATAAGAGACAAACAAGTATTCACAGACATACTGTGTGTCCAGTTCTGTATTGCCAGGCTTGGTGGTATTTACCTGTAATCCCAGAGTCTGGGACGCCGGGCAAGGAGGTCGCTCAGAGTCGGAGGCCAGCTTGGGTGTAGTGAGTTCAAGGCAGCCTGCACTGATGTATCACGCGTGACTCAAAAAATTAAAAAAAAAACAAAACAAAACCGCGTTTGCGCCCCCTGGCGGGGACCCTGCGGACTGCCGGGGCGGTGCCCGAGCGGTCAAATCTCTGCCCCAGCCCTGAGAGCCGGGCCGGGGCTCCGCGGGAAGCGGCAGGCGCAGAGCGGCCGGCCCCGGACGTGGCTGTTTACCGTCGCACTCTGTAAGTTGTTCTCAACTCGGGGTTTGGAAGGAAAATGCCTGGCAACATACCGAGTGAAAGTAACGGGCAGTCCATCCAGGAAAATCAGGCTTCCCTTGAAGTTTTTTTCAGAAAAAGGAAGCAAAAAAAGCGTTAGATTTTGCAGACTCAAGCACATGAATAAAAGCTTCTGAAGAGGGTCAGAAAGTGACGGAGGTGTTGCTGCAGCGCAGTCCTTGTCTATCAGCTGTGAGAAGAAAGCAAACGTGCCACCACTTGGACTGAAGCTCTCGGCGGTGCTTGTTATCTTCGCAGTGTGCCTCACGTTGCTTGGTTTGGTTTTTGTTTTCTTTTCCGTAAGGAGGACTGAACTCAGGACTTTGCCCTTGCGAGGCAGGCACGGTGCCATTGAGCTAAATCTCTGGCCCTGGTTGGTTTGCTTTGAGACAGGGACTCACCATGCCGTTTGGGAAGCTTTGAACTCGCTATTGGCCCCTGTTGGCCTGGAATTCGCGGTGATCCTCCTGCCTCAGCCTTCTAAGTGCCGGCATTACAGGCATGCGCCACCAATTCAGGCATTATATTTTAGTCCTGCTTATAAACCTGGAGAGAAGCACTCGTTTAATATTGTTTCAAGGAAGGAAGAGGTGCTAAACACTGATGCCCATCAAAAAGACAAGGGAAAATCCAAAGATGGCTCTGTGCCAAGTTATGAACTTAAATTCAGTTCAACAGCTTCAGGCTGGTTTCCTCTTGCATCCCGAGATATACGCAGATGAACTTGGGACTCAGCCCAGCCTGTACCTGAGGGGTAGCTACAGCGCAAGGCACAGGAAGTAGTAAGGTGTGTTCTGGGTTACATTCAAGAAACGCACCAACTCCTTTAAAAAGAGGTTAAAAAGTGGCAGAAGTATCTACAAAGGCAGAAGAGAAACCTCAACCAAAGAGGAAGCGAGCGGTACTGACAGCGAGTAGTTTGACAATATGAGGAATTCTAAGGACTTTAAAGGAAAACCAGCCTCCGCCTTCTGCATCTTGTGGGTGGTGGCCTTCACACTGCGGGGTGCAGTTCCTTCCCGACTTTTACTGGGGCAAACTCACTCTTTGGAACCTGTTTCTTTTCCTACCGTTAATAAAACTTCCTTACCATTTTTTAGAAGGAAAAGGGCCGGGATTTAGCTTAGTGGTACTGCCTGTCTCACAAGTGCAAGGTCCCAAGTTCAATCCCCCGCAGTACCAAAAAAAAAAAAAAAAAATCTTTGTTTTGATAACGGGAATCAAACTCAGGGCCTCCAGCTTGCCAGGCAGGCACTGTGCCACTGAGCTATATCCCTAGTCAAAAACTGAGTATGATCTGGAAGAGGACTTCAGGAAGTACAGAAGTGATTCTGCAACTAGCGGTTGTGGACTTGAATGTCTAGAAAATAATAAAGTTAAGTCCATAAACAAATTGGTTTTGAGCTAATGGAAAAATTATTTCAAGATCAGCTGGTACTAAGATCTCATTGCTGGCAATGCCTGGTACAAAAAAAAAAAAAAAAAAAAGATCTCTTACCTTGGAATGTGCAAGTTTAACACAAAAAGATTTTCAGGACATCAGCACACCTGTACAAGAAGACGAGCTTCCCAAAGTAGAGGAGAGTTCTGAAATTCCTCCACAGCCAAAACCAGAAATGAAGAACTTGGGATGGGCCATTTCACAACCAGCTTCGTGGAGAGGACTGGAGGAGAAGGTAGACGTTTCTGTGAAAATTGCCGTCATTGCACTGAAGCTGAAGGAAATCTTTGGAGGGCCGGAAGTTCTAGCCATTGGTGTGAAGTGCTTTGCTGCCAGTGGCTCAAGTTTCATTGTTATGCTAGTGGCCTTTCCAAGAAACACACTCCTTTGTTGAAACCTCTTAAATTGTTGTTATAAGAATGGAGCTCAGGCTAGCCAGGCATGGTGGGGCACACCTGTAATCCCAGCACTCGGGAGGCTGAGGCAGGAGGATTGCTGTGAGTTCGAGATCAGCCTGGGCTACATAGTGAGTTCCAGGTCAGTCTCAACTACATAGTGAGACCCTGTTCCAAAAAACCAAAAACAAACAAAGAATGGAGCTCAGGGGCTCAGGGATGAAGGCCCCCTCTGCCTGGCAAGTGCAAGGTCCGGAGTTTGACCCCTGGTACCACAAAACAAAACAAAACAAAAAAGGAGCACAAGGCCACCTAATGACAGTTCTGACAATCTGGAGTCACAGTGTTAGCAATGGGCATTACACTACCTCTGTTGCAGTCAGTGACTCCAAAAGCTGAGCACTGGGTAAGGAGAACTTTGTGGTTGACCAGATGTGTGAGGTGGGTAAGCCAGAGCCACGAATGAGGAGGAAGCAAGGGGTGCACCTGAAAATTATGACAATGAAGACGAGTCGATGAGACTTGGAAATACACAGCCAAGTAAAGTTTTAAGCAAAAGAAAATATGTAGACGTTAGTGGACTTCTCTGGAGACCAAAGAACAAAGCAGATTTGAGCTCTACAACAAAGCATCCAATCCTGCTTAGCCTACAAGTACAGCACTTGCTGAGACTCAGTGCTAATGGACCCACAAACAGAGAGGAACAAGGAATCCAGTGACCAAACAGGCACCTGTGTGAATGGATTGGGGAACAAATTTTCCTGTGTAGAGCAAAGTTTATTCAGTTTATGATTTTGAGACAGGGTCTTGCTGTGCAGTTCACACTGGCCTTAAACTCTGTGTAACCAAAGCTGGCTTTGAACTCATGGCAATCCTCCTGCCTCAGCCTCCTGCATGCTAGGATTACAGGTATGTATTACCACACCTGGCCTGCACAGTTTAAAGGAGAATGAGAGGGAGTAGTTGCTGTTTTATGATTCTGAGGTGAAAGTTACCAGAGAGAAGGACATCTCCCACATCTATTCCCTACTTGTTATTTTATAAGAAATTGAATAATAGTATTGGTCTCTAGGTTTTTTTTTATAATAGTGAGATTTGAAGTACTAAAAAAAATGTTAATTTTTAGAATTGATAGAGAGAGCGGCTGGGGATTTAGCTCAGTGACACTACGTATGCCTGCAGGTACAAAGTCCTGAGTTCAATCCCCAGTACTGCAAAAAAAAAGAGAATTGATAGAGACAGTGATGTGTTTGTTCCTGGGAACAAACTTATACAGGAAGCATTAGGATTTACACCAATCTTTTGTGTTTGCCCCCACACACACTGGAGATCGGACTCAGGACCAAGAACCAGGCAGGTGTGGGTCCACTAAGCTAAATCCCTGGCCCTGTGTTTGCTTTTTCAAATCAAATTAAGTGCTTCTATTTGTATTCTCCATATATTGGAGAAATTATGTGACATTTATAGGTATGTGCATTTAACATAAGAAACAGAATCTCATTGGGTAGACTTCAGTTTTTGGTTTTGTTTTGTTTTCGGACTGGGAATCGGACTCAGGACTTTGCACTTGCCAGGCAGGCACAGCACCGCTGAGCTACATTCCTGGCCCAGGAGACTTAGTTTTTTATCACAGTCATGAAGCCTGATCTCCGATCTCTGTATCAGAGGCGCAAGACCTGAAATGAGTGGACTCGTGTCAGGTGTGCATTCCGTGCCTTGAATCGCTCTGGAAAGGGTCCCTGAAATCCAGACAGTGTGCTCTATCGTCATAAAAATTCGACATCTATTTATGAAGACGATTCTGTGTTCTAGTAAATCTTTTTGGGCGTGGACTAATTTGTATCTCTTTATCCTCATATTCTGCAAGAATATGTCATACATCAAATGTAAATATGACCCTAAATTTAACTTTAAAAAAAAACTAGAAGGTCAATGAAACTTAAATTGCTTACCTATGAAAAAAAAAAAGAAAAAACCCACAACTAGCTCATATTAAAATAGAGAAAGACAGTGTGTGCCAATTAGAAAGGGTGACATCTACTGGATTCCCCTGGAGCTCTTGAGAATGCAGTTCCTGATCCCTAGGTCTGTGCCAGGCCTGAACTCACCACTCCTCACGGTTTCCGTCCCAGTCCCGCTGCTCTGGGACCCGTGTGGCGGACACTGCCCTGAGCCGGGCTGCTTTGGTTCCTCAGGTCAGAGGAGGGCTGGGAGGGAGAGGACAACCTGGACCGCGTGGGGCCTGTCCCAGGGAGCTCCCACCTCAAGGGTGCAGGGTTCGATTTCCTGGGGGTCCTGGGAGTGGCAGGCACCGGGCAGGACAGGTGTGGGGCCACAGGGTGACCCGGAAACAGGACCAGACACACAGTCACTGGGGTCCTGGGGGCTCCAGAGACCCCGCTCCCCCGCAGGTCCTTCCCCCTTCTTGACCTTGACCTCCAGGCCTGGCTGTCCTGGCCTCTGCTGCTCGGGCTGTGACGTCCCTAGAGTAGCTCTGAGCCTCCTTTGAGTCGCAGATGAAGGCTTGACTCCTATGGGGAAACTTTACAGGCAAAAGGTGCCTTCAGGTGTCTTGGACCCCAGTCTTTTGTGCTCCTCAGATGTGGAACCCATCAGCCACGAGAGGGCGCCGTGAGCTTGCCCAAGCCTCAAGGGCCTGTGTGGTCCCTGGAATCCGTGCAAATCAGATTTTCCCTAGATGTGGTCAAAATTTCCATCGCTAGCTGAGCATGCACTGAGGAGGCAGAGGCAGGAGGATTGGCACAAGTTCAAGGCCGGTCTCAGCTGCATAGAGAGTTCAAGGTCAGCCTGAACTGCGTAGGGAGACCTTGTCCCAGACAAAACTAACTAAATAGGGCCAGAGATTTAGCTCAGTGGTGCCATCGCCTGCCTCACAAGCACAAGGTCTTGTGTTCAATCCCCAGAACAAAATCAAACAAAAAAACCTAAATACATATAAATAAGTATTCATGTACTTATTTTACTTGTTAACCAATGAAAGATGTAAAGATAAATAAGGCTATTAAACTATATTGAAGTAAGTGCTGGGGATTTAGCTCAGTGGCACCACACCTGCCTTGCAAATGCAAGGTCCTGAGTTCAATCCCCAGTACCAAACCAAACCAAACAAAACAGAACAATATACAGTGCTAGAAAAACCCTCGATTAACGAAAGCTACTTCAGCAGGCGTGGTGGCGCACACCTGTAATCCCAGCTCTTGGGAGGCTGAGGCAGAAGGATCGCTCAGAGTTCGAGGCCAGCCTGGACTCCATACTGAGACCCCGTCTCAAAAAAAAAAAAAAAAAGTGGTGAAACCATGAAAGGAGGAAGTGTGGGGGTGGCCGGGCAACCAGGCCGCCGGTGGAAAAGCAGGGTGGGGTGGGGCCCGCTGGGTGGACGGACTGGGTCCCGAGCATTCTTCCTTTGCTCCGGTACTTAA